TAGAACTAAATTAAACATAAATTAAGTATTTATACACGATTATATACCTTTCGATATTGTGAGGGCAGGAGACCACTGACCCCGGAGGATATCTAAGCAGATACTACCATTTGGATTTATATTCGGATGATATATCTTCGTCATGAAACTGACCTGTTACGAGGCTTGCGTGAGTTCAAAACAATGCTTACCTTAGGGGGTTTGAAAGGGTAATCTGTGGGAAATAGTATTTTCAGGGAAAAGACTCCACCTTCATATGGACTATCAGCCTACGGGTATATTATTACAGAATAAACGAACATACAGGTCCCATAATAGTGGCTTGCCAGACAAATACTATATGTAAACTGAGAAAACGCACACTGACTTACGATCATCTTCACAGGGACCAGCTGAACACTGGGTTGGAGGATCTACACTTAAGTCCTGTAACTCCTTTTATGAAACAATTCTGCTGCACAAAAACACGGAACATGCTCTTACTTTGGATATACGTCTCAATGCCATTTGTACAGCTGAGGAACAGGAAATTCGAAACTGCGCGGCAGAAGACCACAGTGAGCTCAAACGCCATTCTCCTCGACTCAATATTCAAATGGTTCAGTCTTCAGTAATAAGGTTAGTTGGTTGATGTACATGTGTTAATCCTGACAGATTGCCTTCCAATGAAGGTCCAAGTCGTTGGAATGGTAGTGGACAGAATAGAAGAAGCTTTCGCTTAACGGGCCTCCACGTCTAGTAGCAGTGAATCACCAATACCTCTAGGCAAGAACCTAGGTATATTAACGATAATAGTGGAAAAAACAATTAAGTAGACCATAATAATATGTTATCCTTAGTCCTTAAGAATAGGTCAAGTTTCCTCTCCTGGCAAGTCGCTTGGACTAGCTTAGTCGGCAGCGAATTCGAGCATTTGACAACTCTTACGGAGTAGAAGTTATGTCTACAGTCTGTTCTGCTATGTCGTTTTTCCAGTTTTCGGGTGTTGTCACTTAGATTTGTGTTGGGACTAAGCATGAGTATGTGTTTAGGTGGATGTTCAGAAGTATCTGGGTTGCTGTGAGCCATTAGGTTACCACTAAGACGCCTGTACTCCAACGGATAAAGGTTCAGTGACTGTAGGCGCTCTTTATAAGGCTTGATTCTGAGTTCCTGGAATGATTTCGTGACTCGCCATCAGTTACATTCCAGAGTGTCCCTATCCTTTTGGAGGGAGGGAGGAAATACTACGTTTCCGTACTCTAAATGGAGACGAATAAAACTGTTGAAGATTATGTGGAATGTTCTACCGTCAAACTGTAGATGACTCAAGTAAGACACTTTGAGGAAGGAGACAATCTTACTGAGCACCATACTAATTTATCAAGATTCAGAAAATCTTAGTTGTGAAGTTGGTGCGCCTCCAAGCATGATCGTATGTATAATGCAAGATGTTTGAAACAAGCTAATTAAAATCAATTGTGTCATTTGCAGGAATATTGTGCCTTTAAAGACAATTCTATGGCCTTGATAGAGTTCAATAAACGTAGTCTAATCATTCGAATTCACTAGTGTAATCTGATTTTGGAGTTATTCGGAAGTTGGTATGCCTTCACTACAAACGAATGCATTTGTAGCAATTAGTCCCTTTGATAAATTTCGATAATGTGATGAGAAGACGAAGATTATCAGAACTATGTGATATATTAGCTCAATACATTTCGAACAATCTGATCACACATATACTTGTTAAGAACATTTATATACAAAATTAAAAGGTCAAATAGACTGGAAATAGGGGTAAGAATAGACAAGGATAATAATGATAAAATAATGTGAAAACAATTTGACACCTAATCACTCTGGATAATAATCATATATTACCAGGGTAGGTTTAAAGAGAGAACAAACTGTTTTTGAATATGCAAACGGGGTTTGAATTTTCGTATGGCTAAGGCTTCAATAAACCTTAGTATACGCCCTTTTACACTTTTAAACAACACAACAAAAGCCGAGTTCAGATCAATCTTATGACCTGTTTCGATTATATGTTTAGCAATAGAGGATAATGGATGTTTATCCTCTACTCTTATTAAGTCATTCGACTGTACTTGTTTTTGCAACCATTTTGGTACATGTTCACCCACCCTAATTTTCAGATCACGATTGTTCCTCCCTATGTATGGTGATCACACACACATTTAAATTGGTAAACGCAGTGGGATGTGACACAATCGTTTTCATGTCGTCTAGGTTTTGAATGAAGCATGGACCTCGTTGTTTCCTTGATTATGACTTTCGCAGCACAATACGTTTTGTTGATAACATATTTAAGCCTTTGTTTCAATAAAAGGCTATTTGAATCACCTCTAAATGGAAAGGTGATGTAGACAGGCTTTTTCTCTACCAAGGCTACAGTCGGTCTCGCTGTGCCCTGAACTTTCCATCTATTGATAAATTTAGGTGGATAGCCATTCCCGATTAATGTCTTTGTTAACAACCTAACATCGTCATCAATAGCGTCATTTGTGCAAATACGACGAAGCCTGTTAAAAAGGCACTTTACCAAACCATGTTCGTATTGTACAGGGCAATAACTATAGTAACTAAGATAATGACCCGTCCACGTCGGTTTTCGAAAAATGGATCGTTTTATTGAGCCATCTTCTCGTCTGTTTAGAAGTACATCTAAGAAAGGAAGCTGGTCGTTCTTCTCCTCCTCACATTAAAGACTGATATGGTTTTGGATAGTATTAAATTTATTCAATAGGCAGTTTATATCTTCCTTTCTTTCTCCGATTACTAAGATATCATCCACATATCTCTTATAAAGTGACATGTTTTTGATTAAGTCTTCAGATAAATAAAGAACGACCAGCTTCCTTTCTTAGAGCATTCTTATTAAGTGTGAGATTTCATTCAACTTGACATCCTGATTTCAGATTACAGTCATTAATTGAGATGGTATGGTAGCTTGTTTCCCGTAGGATTTGTTTAATAATATTCAGTTCATTATCATCAATTGTGTCATCAGCGCATATGCGTCTGGCTGTTTAGGATGGAGAATTGATCAAATTACTTTCCCTACCTATAGCATCCGAATCCGCAAATACAAATGATGTGTGGAAATTATTCATTGAAACACAGAGATGGAAATCAGTCCTCTACTTATGTTTAACAATCGTTTGAGTTTCCAGATACAATAGTCCCTGTTGTAATTTCGAATCTGTGTCTGGTTTAAGAAATCTATTAATTGTCAGTGTCATAGCATGGCATACAAGTAGAATGGATGTGGCTTGGTTCAAAAGCTACAATTTTATAATAAACGACAGTGAAATCCTTTGACAAAATGTGCTTATTGTAACAAAATCCATGTGTAAAAGAGTATTTTTTACCGTCCAATGAGAACAGTTTGTGCCTCTTTGATTTTAATCAATCAAATCCAAACAACTCATTGTTGACGGTCAATCATTAGATTATTACAGACAACAAACTGTTTGTTTTCGTGAACACATAAGCACACATTTGGCACTACAATTTAACCAACCAACTTTTTTAAAATATTGGCAATCACATTTAAGATACGTTTTATAAACAGGGGTCAGAAATTTCAACCAACAATGTTCTCAACAGCCAAAAGAATACTAGAGAACGATGATGTCATATACCTCCATGATTGGCTCACAATGAACATGTGATTTTAGTAAATTCAGTCTTTCTAATGATCACTTTGAATCATCGATTCACAAGGAAACGAACAAACACTTCAAAAGTCTATATAAATCCGACAATTTCTATCAAAATTTAATTTATAACTTTACACGAGAAGATGAGGTAAGTGTTGAATGAATAAACGAATTGAAGTTTAAGTTCTATTCAATGAGATACCGTTGATTTGTTCATCTGGATCATTTTAGGTATAACTTTTCGTCGAGTCAATGGATAACAATTTTTCTGATCATCGTTTGGCCTTACAAGCGTTTCTACTGCAACGACATTTGTAATAATCCTGATTTGCACCAGTATGAGAAAGTCATTTTTGAGAATGATACATATCGATATGTAAGTAATCAGTTAAATTCTAATATACATACTCCAGTTTCTTTATTATAATTATTCAATGAGGATTCATTATAATCAGTCTCATCCAGCTTTGAATCACAGTTTTAAAGCAATTGATTGTGAATACGTAAGTTGAATACATTTTTCAAATAGAGGTACATATCTACATGTTTGCATCTTTTTAGCCTTTCTTTCCTCGATTCCCGTTAACATATTTCGATATGAAAGTCTACGAAATTGAAGTTTTCACAAATCGTAAGTCAATAACCTTTTTGAAGTAAAATGATTATTGAGTTTTCTTGGTCAAATTTCCGTTCATCAATGAACGTTGATTCCATTTTATTCAGTGAATCAGTTTTATGTTCCTTGTGACATGCAAACGTCTGTGAATAATTTTTTATTGTTCGAATTGTTAATGGTTTGACTCTTTGTAGCACTTCATTGTAAGCAATCATGGATGGTGGCTAACAGTGGAATACAGTTTGTCGCGCGTTTCGTCCTATTTGAGACTCGTCATCTGGACGAACTTGCATCTCAGTGTTGATGTTCACTCTGGAGCTTGAACACAGTACCTTTCGCTTCCAACGTCTTTGTGTTATCCACTCAGCTACTGAGTCTTGCTAGCTACTTGCTAGCTACTTGCTTGTGCAATGGGGTAAGGTCTAAATCCACTTGGTATTGTTTGTTTGTATTTTCTCATTAATGTTTAGGACTGCAATTGATCAGTCTATAATCGGTGTATGTGTACATTAAATCTGAGATGCAGGTACACACTGCGGACGAGTCCCATATAGGACTAAATGCAGGTCAAACTGGATTCCACTGCTAGATACTATTCATCTTTGCTTACAATGCTTCTGAAATAAGGGTATATCGAGGCAGAAATACGCACAGTATGCACATATGCAAATTAGAGACTGACCATTTGTAGTCCTGAACATCAATGGGAAGAATCAAGGAAACAATACTAAGTGAATTTAAATACAGCTCAGTTTATTGCATAATCATTTGATCATTCACTGAAAATTTATCAATGATGTTGTATGTTTTCATCAAATTGATACAGATTGTTTACGTGTAGTTAGCAGTGGCTACATTATTATTCAGTTATTCTTTGTTTTGTTCCCTTTTCTCACACTTATTTTGTGTAAATGCTTCAGTGTTTCACTTAATTATTACATGAGAGTTAACCAATACACAATAACTTTCGCTTGTGCGATATTTGTAAGAGAACGTGTGTGTATCGCAGCAGTTGTTGAATGCTGTAAATCGAAACCGTTAAATAAAACAGAGATTTACCTGGAATCTGAGTAACAACTTCCAAATTATAAAGCCGATAAATGTTAGAAATAGAAGGGCGACCAAAGAAATTACAACGTATAAGTACCAATGTAACTTGTGTTGTTTATTCTCTTCCGTTGTTTCCGTAGTCATATTCTGAAGAATAACAAAGAATTAGAAGGTTTTAGTAAATATCAAATATTTACCGAGTGTTTATCAGTTTCTTCATTAGTTTCCATGAGGTTTTCACTAACCTGAACTTCAGTGATTCCCGACGTTGTTTCATTGTGTTTCATAGTTTTTGAAATACTCACATCGTTGACATCCGAGATGTTCTAAATAAGAAAATCAGTAGTATTCATTATTAAACATCGAATATTGTTCATTTCATTCATTATTCATTATACACCATTGTCAGTAATGATGACACAAGAGAATGTCACACAGAGTAGCGGAAATTGCATTCGTACAACATAAATCAACAGCCTTATAATTGACAGCCAAATTGAATCAATCTATTGAGGTTACATATTTTTCACCTGAGAATCATAAATCATTGTTCTGGGATTCAACAATGAGTGTCTACATACTCTCACTAATTATTTTCATGTGATATACAATTTTTGACTGTTTACGCTTCTTAACATAAACTGATTTCATCGGTATATTACGATAATTCACATAGATCTACACTTTCATTTCGAACTTTTGAATTTACGAAACATTCATTGAGCTGAAAAATTATTGCGCATTCAAACGCTAATGGTGAGTGATGCTCCAATCCATGTTTTATTATTTCTACGAAATGGAAGAATTTTACCCATATCTGATTAGATATTGTTAACGTATACGAGGCTTCAACTTAGTCACTGAGGGCGGCACACATGTCAGTTTTTATTTATATCTATAAAAGTTTCCACGAAAAAGAAGCATTTTACCCATATCTGTTTAGTTACTGTCCACGTATACTTGGCTTTAATTTAGTCACCGAGGTTGGTACACATGTCAGTTTTATTGATAGCACTAAAAGTTTGTTCCCAGTAAAAACATTTGCTCGTAATGTGAATTTTGAGATTATTGCAAACGACCTATGCAGTTTAAAAAGTACCGACCTGAACACGGCAGTCATTTATTTTCAGGCCATGAGTATTGTGATCGTTACTTTGTATACATGCGTTCACCTTTTCACACCAAGTGCATGTCATAGTCGGTGTCAATTCTCTTTGGCATGTGTCACTTGTATTGTATTGCGAACAGATTTCTATGAAAAGAATAAGGTGAATTCATTTGAAGTTGTAGAACAAAAGAATAGAAAAATACAAAACCTGTAGCTATAACTAAACGATGTGATGGTGATTTCTGGGTTAAGTGACTATTCCATTCGTTGGAAAATGGTCAACACGGTGCATAATGCAAAACTCAGTACACCTTCAATTTCACTTCTATTTCACGACTGCATGTTTGAATTGAATGAAACTCTTTTGACTGTAAAGAATAAGTGACGAATTTTGACAAAGGGAGATTGATGGATTTTAATAACTGTTTGGATTCGGACATGTACACACTATGCTGTTACTGAGCTTATCATAGCGTATTGCATTGAACTTTGATGGTTATACACACTATCTTTCCATGAAATCATTTTTATGATTCAGATCAATGCATGTAAGGTCGGTTGTTCATAGACACGGAATTCACTTTGAATTATGTTGATTCAGTTAAACAATGAAGTAAAAGTGACATCGTTCTTTCAATCATCAATGACCATTTTCTTGAAAAGATTTTAGTGGAGTTACTATGATGAATGATAGGGATGCAGGTGGCCGCATTCTGGTCCATGTACTGTCAGTTATTTCACCAAACCAGTTGAATAATCACAATTCACTAATGAATAAACAAGGCTATCTGATCATTGAGTATCAGAATGATTCTTTTAGTAATGGAAAGGTTATTTCAATAGGCTGACACATGGCTTACTGAAAAGTGTTTGTAGATATTCTATGTTTATATTAGTCAGAACGAACACATTTGCATACAATGAAATTAGTTCTCAAGCTGACAATGAAAATTGTAATTTAGACACGTGACTTGTCTATCCCCTAAACTTATTGTATGTGCATGACAAAGCAGAGATTTCGTAAAACAGACAGTTGTTTTCAAGGTATTCGTAATCACATGGATTGTTTTCACAACTTCAATGCTTCAGAAAAGTTCTACATCACATATATCAAAAGAATAATGGACACTTTCTCGTCAATGCACAATCACTTGCTGACACTTAAGATTTTTCGAAACTGAAAGCATCCCATCTTTCTTTTTGTGACTTTGTGTTGAAGTAAATTTCATATAGTTGAACAGTTTAATGTAGTTGAAAAGGGCTACTTATTCCTTTTCAATATTCAACATCGAATAGACTTTCAGTTATAAATGGTAAGTGAAACGTCATATGACACAAATGCCTGGATATCATTAATGATCTGACTACAGTTGCACATGGAACTTTCAAGTAGAACGAACAAATGTGATGTATTTAAGGGCAAAAATAGTAAGTGCTGATTAAATAAAGTTTCACGTACTTCCGATGACTTCAAACTCCACCAACGTACCACTTCTGATCCATTTTTCAGGAACAGGTATCTCATAATTTGTGAAATCTTGTATGATAAATTGAAAAGGAAAAGACACTTAAAATTTTGACTTCTTTTTAGGGCATAAAAAGTTGTTTGCTCCATTTTAGAAGAGGTCAAATTAAGGAACTTGGGAATTTTTCATTACGTACACAGTGATTACTGTCCTCAAAAAACTGTGGTTCACACATGTCTGATTTCTGAAACTGACCGGAAACTTATAAATGAAATAGATACACTTCTGAGTTAATTCACGATAAAAATCAATTGGACGTTTGGAAAAGATGCGTTCAACTCGTTACATATTATTTCACAATGCAAATTACAAGGAGGAAACATTCAAATCTACAAGTCAAGGAACAATGATGACTTGTACTTCAATCTCAGACGCGAGTTTTATCTTATTCACGACTTGTCAGGTACTGAAAAACAGCACTATTCACTTTCTACTACATTCCATTATCCCCTAAGCCAATAAGTCCATATACTCGACTTGTGAAACGGTATAGAGGTCAATCATTTTTTGAACTGTTTATTGAATTTTCGAATTGATGTTGGAAACCTTAGTTGATTCCAATGTTATCTGGCATCCATTTTTAGGCAAAATGCTTGTGACTTAAAGTAACATCCAGATTATTCAACAGGGTGAATATATATCAATAAGAGACTGATCAGTTGCAGTACAATACACTTATGGGAGAACTGAAACAAACTACGCAAAATGACAATTATCTTCATTATTTAAATGACTCAACAGTGAATTCTAATCGGTCAATATATAACATTTGGCGAAACATCTGTTGAACCCTCTCACAATCCTCTCGAAACTCAGCTTCATCCTTCAACAACATATGTTTATTTCTGTGAAGCAAGACGATTGAACATTTCATAAAGAAAGTGTCACTTCCAACTAGCCCTATCTTATTTTTGCCTCATACAAAACACACTTCCTCTTACATTGAATGATGAGATGACCAAGGACTGCAAGTGTGACCGTCTTACTGTGAGTAACTGAATAAATGAGTGCATATATTTGTCTGCTTCATATCGTTATTCATATATCTCTATCTGGTTGAGTCTAGCGGTAATCATAAATGTGAACATATCGCAAATAGCCCTCCAAACGTTTGCGATAATGATATTCATACAGGTTGGTCGTTTTACTCGAGAAATCTGATTAAGTGAGCGTCCACAAATGTGAATTTTAAGTTCACTTTCGATGGAATTTAGGACGTAATGCTTAAATAGCACAATTACGACCTCGCTTCAAAAACTCCAATCATTTCGGTGGTGTTATCAAATATGATAGTTGATGGATTGAAGACATATATACTTGAATTTCAATTCAGTTAATAATAGGAATCCTCTGAATAAAAGACCTTATCATAAATATCAAACGCTTTTAGAATTGGTCGACACTATCATTCAGCAGGAAATGTGAACATTAAATTGACGTTGAATACTTAGTATTCAAAAATATATGAACAAGGTGTTCACAAAAATCATTCCACTTTCATTTCGCACAATTATTCACAACACTTCAATGACATTACCATCAACTGATTTTACATAAAAAACAACCGCTGTTAAAAAACTCAATTAGATCACTCTGATAAAATACATGGATTTCCTTTATTGACATGCTCGTGGCCGGGTACAAGTAAAAAGTAATGAAAAACTAACAGGTGATTTATGATTCACGTCACCGTACATCATAGTGCTAACGAGATTTGCTGAAATATTTCTTACCTTTTTGACATTCTATTCTTCCATTGAGTTTCGATATAGGCTGGCTTTCCTCGATTTTCGTGGGAATTTGAAAAAGAGATTGTTTGATGTCTGAACCAAGATCTGTTACCACAAAATATGGAGTCGAATAGTTGATGGGGAAATGTGTCATCATTAAGATCATCCTATTCAAAGACAACTAATCACACCGACACTGGGCATACTGATATTCTCAGTTTACTTTCCATGAATGTTCCATCCAATCTGTATAGATAATTTTGTCAACTTCGGTCAACTTTTATGAACTATCTCTCCATCATGATATGTGGCGACAACTTGTGAGATGAATCTCACCGTCTGTTGAAATGAAATATGATTGTGAATATTGGAAACGATGTTTTACTCAGTATGTGCCATAGTGAACATTCTGAACAGCCGAATTTCACCACATGAAATAAAGCTCAACAGAATATGACTCTTTCCGTATAGTACTCAAAAATTCACAGCCAGTTACTATTTGGCACGAGCACATCCTTATTTCTTCTGATAGAACTTCACTTTTGATTATTCACTGTTTTTAACACATGCTCGAATGTTTAGTCTTTATTTGACTAATAATAATGTCAACTAGTCTGTTTGCACAATAAACGATGCACACCCCAGTCTATCGTGTTCAAAGTAACTAGATACATTCTATAGTATTGGTTAATATGAAATAGTGAAACGATGTGATGTATTTGAATTGAAATTACATTTTCATTAAAATTGTGCAACTTACGTTATCATAATAGAAAGATATTTTGCTATATGGGTGTGTTAGGCTAGGCATCTTGGCTGTGACTTCTGAAATAAGAAGACTATCGATACTTAGAATTTAAGATATAAACGATAAACAAGTTATTGTTAGATGTAACAGTGTGAAAATATTTCATTGAATATCAACTATGTTATCTGAAATGTTTTCTTAAGATGGATTGGAAATCAATACATTGAAGTGAACATCATTGAAAAGAGATGACCATGAATACTTTCTAACAAATGTCAAATGCCTAGATTCCGAAGTTGTATTAATATTGAATTATTATCGAAACAATAAATCGTCTACTTTACCATCAGGGATCTGGTAGTCGGAGGTGTATTAACTCTTGCGCAATATCTTAAATAATTCCATTTGAAACTATGGACACTCAGTACGCATGACATAATCTTTAGAGTGTTTGTCTACACATTAGACTTTAGAAATAAATTGGTGTTCTATATATAAGATTTCTATCGGTTGACTGATTCCGACTACAGCGTCTATTTGTTGTAAATGAGAAACGACTAGCTTTAGATAACGATTTCTCAGTTTGAAACGTTAATATTTACGAATGACTGTGAGATGAATGGATGTTCATTTCAACTTTTCTCCAAGTCCTTTCGGATGTACCCAATTATTGAGTGGATTTCACATTTCATTCTACCCTAATTTGACAGAATAGTAGCTCCTTTACTCTTTCGTTAGTATTTTGGAAGGTTGGGTTTATACAAAATGAACGGGCAAAGTTTGAGCAATCACATTTAATGAAGGTGTAAATGTAAAGATTTTACGCGTGTAATCAGAAGATCGTTCAATGTTTACTTACCTGAACCATTAACTTTTATGTGAAAAATGATCTGAATAATGATTATCTATCTCTTTTGATGAATATACGTTTTAACACGAACTGCCGCCTTCTTATTAAAGTTGTCGTCTCCATTTTGAGGTTTAAATGAACCGAAGTAGTTTGTGGTGTGGTCTACTTATACCAATATAAGTAGTATATGGTGCGGGTCAGACATAGAATGTATTTTAGCAGAAGACCGATGAGGAAGGAACTGAAATGAAGCGCAATCGTCTCGAAAATGCATGAGCAATGGAATAAGAGAAGAAACAGTGAAGATTGAAGCAATTGGTTGTTAATTTTGCAAATTGACTGTTCATTGTTTGGTAATTAGAATTTACTGAGATAGTCTGTAATCTTTGCTTAAATACATTCGATTGTCCCCAACTAGTGTTTTGTTCACTACATTTGGTGTCGCTGCCAACCAGGAGGAGGAAGGGTGTTGTTCTGCGGACGCCGCTGTGGGTCTGGAGTGGAGGTGCTAGTTGGGGCAGTCTGTTGAGGAGAGGTGGCGTCGAGTGGAGTGTTCTGACGGAGCGGCGTTTGTTGTAGCGGGTGCTGTCGACGGAGAGAAGCAGTGGGACGTGAGGTTGCTGGGCGGACATCGGATGTAGATGGCTCAGCAGGCCGGTGGAGTACGGGTGTTGAACGTCCCAGGTGCCGGGTGGATGCGGATGTTGATGCCCCGGCAGGTCGACGGAGCTATGGAGGTCAGCGCGCCGCAGAGTCGACATTCTGACGGAGAGTATGGCACAGACTGCAGTGAAAGAAGATAGTGTCGTGGCGAGCAGAACCACCGTTTGGTCGAATGCTTTAAAGGGGAGACGAGTGTGGTGTGGTCTACTTATACCAATATAAGTAGTATATGGTGTGGGTCAGACATAGAATGTATTTTAGCAGAAGACCGATGAGGAAAGAACTGAAATGAAGCGCAATCGTCTCGAAAATGCATGAGCAATGGAATAAGAGAAGAAACAGTGAAGATTGAAGCAATTGGTTGTTAATTTTGCAAATTGACTGTTCATTGTTTGGTAATTAGAATTTACTGAGATAGTCTGTAATCTTTGCTTAAATACATTCGATTGTCCCCAGTTGTGTTCTGTCCACTACAGTTTTATGCTAAATCATCTCTCATGTGAAAGTTTCAAGGAATATTATCAATTCAACAATATGATGAACATTTCGACATAAACACCTGTGAAGATCATTTTACTTCTTTAAAATTTGTTCTAAAAGTTTCTAACTGAGATTCTGTTATTCATCAATTCTGATATCTAAACAAAATAAATATATGTCACCTAGATGTTCTAAGTGTTCTCGTATAAGTAAATTGTCTGGATTCATTATTTCTATTCGATAAAAGTGTATATTTTCAAGTAGATCTCTGTTTAATTTAACAGTTTTCAATTTACAGCATTCAACACTTGCTGTGATACAAACACGTTCTGTTGCAAAAATCACACAAGCGATATAATCACTGTGTATTGGTTTACTGTCATGTAATAATTAAGTGAAACACTGAAGCATTTACACAAAATAAGTGTGAGAAAAGGGAACAAAACAAAGAGAATGACTACATAATATAAGAACTCACTTTCTTTTTCAAAATCTTCTTTTCAGTTTTCATATAGTCTTTTTTGTAATTTATAAAATCTCCGTAGCCACTGCTAACTACACGTAAACGATCAATTTGATGAAAACATACAACATCATTGATAAATTTGCAGTGAATGATCAAACGATGAGTTGTATATAAATTCACTTATTATTGTTTGTTTGAATCTTTCCATTGATGTTTAGGACTACAAATGGTCAGTCTCTAATTTGCATATGTGCATACTGTGCGTATTTCTGCCTCGATATACCCTTATTTCAGAAGCATTGTAAGCAAAGATGAATAGTGTCTAGCAGTGGAATCCAGTTTGACCTGCATTTAGTCCTATATGGGACTTGTCAGCAGGTTGAACCCGCATCTCAGAATTAATGTACACATACACCGATTACAGACTGATCAACTGCAGTCCTAAACATTAATGAGAAAATTCAAACAAACAATACCAAGTGGATTTAGACCTTGCCCCATTGCACAAGCAAGTAGCTAGCAAGTAGCTAGCAAGACTCAGTAGCTGAGTAGATAACACAAAGACGTTGGAAGCGAAAGGTACTGTGTTCAAGCTCCAGAGTGAACATCAACACTGAGATGCAAGTTCGTCCAGATGACGAGTCTCAAATAGGACGAAACGCGCGACAAACTGTATTCCATTGTTAGCCACCATCCATGATTGCTTACAATGAAGTGCTACAAGGAGTCAAACCATTAACAATTCGAACAATAAGAAATTATTCACAGACGTTTGCATGTCACAAGGAACATAAAACTGATTCACCGAATAAAATGGAATCAACGTTCATTGATGAACGGAAATTTGACCAAGGAAACTTAATAATCATTTTACTTCAAAAAGGTTATTGACTTACGATTTGTGAAAACTTCAATTTCGTAGACTTTCATATCGAAATATGTTAACGGGAATCGAGGAAAGAAAGGCTAAAAAGATGCAAACATGTAGATATGTACCTCTATTTGAAAAATGTATTCAACTTACGTATTCACAATCAATTGCTTTAAAACTGTGATTCAAAGCTGGACGAGACTGATTATGATGAATCCTCATTGAATAATTATAATAAAGAAACTGGAGTATGTATATTAGAATTTAACTGATTACTTACATATCGATATGTATCATTCTGAGAAATGACTTTCTCATACTGGTGCAAATCAGGATCATTACGAATGTCGTTGCAGTAGAAACGCTTGTAAGGCCAAACGATGATCAGAAAAATTGTTATCCATTGACTCGACGAAAAGTTATACCTAAAATGATCCAGATGAACAAATCAACAGTATCTCATTGAATAGAACTTAAACTTCAATTTGTTTATTCATTGAACACTTACCTCATCTTCTCGTGTAAAGTTATAAATTAAATTTTGATAGAAATGGTCGGATTTATATAGACTTTTGAAGTGTTTGTTCGTTTCCTTGTGAATCGATGATTCAAAGTGATCATTAGAAAGACTGAATTTACTAAAATCACATGTTCATTGTGAGCCAATCATGGAGGTATATGACATCATCGTTCTCTAGTATTCTTTTGGCTGTTGAGAACATTGTTGGTTGAAATTTCTAAACCCTGTTTATAAAACGTTTTTTGAATGTGATTGCCAATATTTTACAAAAGTTGGTTGGTTAAATTGTAGTGCCAAATGTGTGCTTATATGTTCACGAACAAACAGTTTGTTGTCTGTAATAATCTAATGATTGACCGTCAACAATGAATTGTTTGGATTTGATTAGTTAAAATCAAAGTAAAACAAACTGTCTGGATTGCATTTTATTACAATAAGCACATTTTGTCAAACGATTACACTGTAGTTTATTATAGAATTGTAACTTTTGAACCAAGCCACATCCGTTTTTTTGTATACCATGTTATAACACTAACTATTGATAGATGTCTAGATGGAACGGGATAATGATTTTCTTATTGATTACATAGAAATATAACTGACTGTGTTCAGTTCCGTAGATTGAGTTATCCAAATATTGTTTTCAGAGAAATACAATACATTCCCTCAAAAGTGAACCGTTGAAAATTGGGAAGGATTTCCAAAACCAGACACAGATTCGAAATTACAACAGGGACTATTGTATCTGGAAACTCAAACGATTGTTAAACATAAGTAGAGGACTGATTTCTATTTCTGTGTTATAAAGAATGATTTCCACACATCATTCAAACTTGTATTCATTGTCATCTGTGTTCAAACATACGAGAAAATCGCTGTGATAAGGTAATGTGAAGTGTATACTTAACTCACACTAAACATCGGATACTGATGTATGAATAAAAGTCCGTATTTCCGTAACTCAATAATAATTTCAGCCAAATCAGTCAAGAATATTTGTGTTTGCATTATATTTTAAAAACGTTTACCTCCTGACACCTTAGAGTTGTATTGTTTGACTTAAGAATGATGTCGATACTAATCAAAATTATAGTTGAAAGCGTGAGTCAACTATAATAAATACTAAATCTCCAC